AAAGGGGTCTTGATCTGGTCATCTTCCTTGAGGGATATCTGGTGATAGCCAGAGTAACATTCGAGGAAGGAGAGTAGTTCGCAGCCGGCGGTGGAGTCTACAACCTCGTCTATTCGAGGTAGACCAAAGGGATCTTTAGGGCAGTGTTTATTAAGATCAGTGTAATCAACGCACATTCTCTATTCTTTATTCTTTTTTTGAACAAGAACAGGGTTTGCTTACCACTCAGGATGATACACCTCTTTAATGAATCCGGTGGCTAGGAGCCATTTTATTTCTACCCTAATAGCCTCCTTCTTGTCTGGTGTGAATCGTCGGAGTTTCTGCTTGATCGGTTTGGCGGTCGGCGAGATATTTAAGGAGTGCTCGATCTTCTCCCATGGTACCCCCAGCATGTCTGTAGGTTTCCAAGCAAACATGTCGGCGTTGGCATGTAGGAAGGAGACGAGCATGCTTTTCTATGTGGGGTCGAGGTGAGCCCCAATCTTCACGGTCTTGGAGGGGTCGTCGAGGCCGAGGCTGACCTCCTTGGTTTCATTGGACTTGGCGGAGGCACGAGGAGGCTCCAGCGATGGGATCTCTAGGTTGTCAGTGGGCATCATCTTGGCGTCGGTGACCACACTGGCCATCTGGATGGAGAGGTCGGTGGCTTCGGTGAGGGCGAGACTCTCTGTCTCGCAAGCATAGACGATGGAGAGGTTGGCCCACAGGGCCAGGACTCCTGTAGGTGAAGGCATCTTCAGCACCAGATAGGCGTAGTGCGGTATGGGCATGAACTTGGCCAGAGCTGGCCGACCAAGTATGGTGTGGTAGGCGGTGTTGAAGTCGACGATGTAGAAGTTGATGTGCTCAATGCTGTAGTTGCTGGCCATGCCAAACTGTACTAGGAGGGTGATCTCTCCATGCAGTTTGGATGCCCTGCCAGGTACCACCACCTAGAAAGAGAAGTCAGAGGGTGTGAGGTCTCCTATCCTGATGCCTAGCTCTTTTAGTGCTCCGGCAAACAGGAGGTTTAGAGCGCTCCCACCATCGACGAGAACTTTTCTAAAAAGCACTATCTGGACGGTTGTGTCGAGGATGAGGGGAAACACCCTGTGTAAGGGATATCCGCCCATCGGCCCTGTTGAAGGTGATAGGGACCTCGGACCAGAGGTGATAGCTGGGGTTGGCAGCGGCGTCCTCTGCGTTGATGGCGAGCACCCGTCGGACGGTGAGCTTCCGTTTTCTTCTGCTCTTGGCGGTGGCGAGACCTCCAAAGATGGTGGCAACCACCTTGTCGTGATCCTAGAAGGCATTGTTGTTGCCCCCAGGTGGCCGGCGGCCTCCGGCGCCATCGTTGTTGTCGTCATCTGGCTTTTTAGCCTAGAATTCCTTGGCCAAGCTGAGGCAGTCCTTCATCTTATGCTTGGCATTTTTATGGAGGGGGCATGGACCCTCGAGGATCTTCTTGTACTGCTCGTCATAGTTTCACTTGGCTCGAGGTTCTTCGACAACGGCGACGATGTGGTCTGGTCGGCGGCAGCGATATTGACTAGACTTAGATCCTTCTGGCCGATCATGGCCACTGTCCCAATGGTGATTGCAGTCGTCGTAGCAGCGGTCACTGTGGCGCCAGTCGTCGTGGCGATCATCGCTGCGGTGAGTTGGGCGATGAGTGCCCGTATCCTCGTTAAAGCGCACTTCAGCTTCTACGGTGTCGACGTACTGGTTGGTGGTCGTAATCATCTCGCCAATCCCCGTTGGTGGCTTGCGATTGAACTTAGAGCGGAGGTCGTGGTGATAGAGTGCTTGGATGAAGGCGGTGATGACCTCAGCTTTCGTGATGTTAGGAATATATTTCCTCATCTCGGAAAAGCGTCTGATGTAGCTACGGAGGAGCTCGGATGGCTTCTGGTAGATGCGGTTTAGATCATGCTTGGTGCCCGGCCGAGTACACGTAGCCATGTAGTTGTCGATGAAAACCTTCTTTAGCTCTTCCTAGGATCTGATGGAATCCGGTGCGAGGCTTGTGAACTAGTTCATCCCAGTTGGCGTAAGCATGACAGGAAGATAGTTCACAATGACACTGGTATCACCTCCAACGCCGCGCACAGCAGTGGCGTAAGCTTGTAGCCACTAAGTGGGGTTCATCCTTCCCTCATAGGGCTCGACCCTAGTGATTTTGAAACCACGGGGCCACTGGAGTGTTCGGAGTGCCCTCGTGAATGCTGGGGGCCCTTCGGGGTTGTCGGTGCCGTGATCTGCAGTATTGCCGGCGTAGAGCAGCTCGAGAGCTGAGTTCGGGTTACCGAACTCTTGCTCGTACTCTTGACGACGACGTACTTCTTCTTCATGATGACCAAAACATCGCTCGTCGATACGTCGTCTCGCGTCTCAGAGATTGTTGAGGTGCGTTCGGACGTCCTGGTCGACCTCCTGGTCATGTTGGCGAGGGTATTCGATGTGGTTGCCCCTAGCTCCCCCTAGAGGGGTTGTCTGTCGTCGCAGTGTTGGTCGGTGAAACGACTTGGGCGGCGATCAGATCTTGGCACAGCTGATCGGCGAATTGAGCTTGTGGAGTATGAAGGCCTCTGATCCTGGCGGATCTCGTTGACCTGGCAGTGCCTCGCTTAAAGCATGGCGATGACCTTGGCGACCTCCGGTGTCTGTGGGAGCCTGGCGAGCTCGTTGGCGGCCACAGCCAAGTTGGCGCTTGGGGTCCTGTAGACATCGTGGCCATCAACACGGACAAATTCGTCGTCGAGGTTGCGGTGGAGTTGGTGTGGCCTTCCTTACGAGTCAAGCTGAGCCTCGGCCATCGCAAGGCAGCCTCGTTTGCTCAGCGCTGCATGCAGTTGACGTTTCGATTGACGCAAGCGGCGCGTTCCTCCTCGGTTTCCCCATTCTGTGGAGGTTGCATGGTGGTGGTTTTGGCGACGGTCTCCGTAGAGCCCTGGGACTCAGAGTCCGGATTTTCCTCTAGGATGACTTGGTGGGATGCTTCAGGGCATCGGCCGACGTGTAGCATGTTGATAATCGGCGGAGGCTGGTCGGTGATCTGGTCGGCGAGAGGATGGATATCTCCTACCTGGTCGACGAATTTGCCCCTTAGGGCATCTTGGTAGGTGGCGGCAACGTTGGTGAGCTCGAAGGGTAGGGCCGTAACCCCTGGAGTTTTCCGAGCAACCTCCGATAGATCTAGATCGGAGGGTGGTCGACGCTGAACCAGAGTGGTCAGAGCCGATTCTGTGATGTAGAGACAATCGATGAGCTTCTAGCCAACCTGATCAATGGATGCGATCAGATCGTCGTTCTTGATTCGCCTCCTCGGGTAGCAGGGAAGCTGGCGGCGAGTTGTCGATGAAGGCGACCTCGGAGGTGGCTTCGAGATCGGATCTGCAGTCACAGGTGTTGGGGTGATCGGCGCAGTATCGATCTGCACCGACTCGATAAGCCCTCCGACTCCGTCAGTGTTGATGATCCAGGAGATTGATCCAACCGTAAAGATCTAACTGGGCTGCGAGGGGGACGAAGAGCCTACGGAAAATACCATCTGGTTCGATAAGGAAACAACACGCACACCCCTACCTGGCGCGCCAACTGTCGACAGAATATCATCGGCAGTCCTCCGAGGGGTATCCCACGAAGGTAGATTAATCGGCAGAGATGCGTGTAATCGAGAACAAGAAGGCAACAGAGACACACGAGTTAGACATGTTCAGGCCGTCAGTATGACGTAATCCCTACTCCTGTGGTCTGTTAGATTGTATTGGCTATCGTATGATATTGCGTGTATTTGGAGAGGGTCCCTGCCCGCCTTATATAGTCCGGGGGCAGGGTTACAAGTCGGTTAGATTTAGGAGAAAACCGAAAAGTAATAACAAATTACAGGAATCATGGGATCATACGTATCGTAACAAATCTCGTAGTATCTTCAGGATATCTTCCCGGTGTCTTGCGGGAGGCGCCGAGCAGTGTTGTGCCCCGCAAAGGCTTCGTCTTGTGGGCTAGGCCGCCTCTGGGGGCGCAGCCCATGTGGTCTACTGTGGGTATCCGGGGTCGCACCCCCACAGGGGGCCTTTGAAAAAAAAACAGGGGACATATAGGAGTAGCCGAAGGATTGTGAACAAAAGCAATCCTGCTACCAATTCATTTAGACATCGGCCTAGAAAAATCTGAAATTGTATTTTTTTTATCTCTATCTTGATTGAGTTGGGAATCTTACATTTCCCTAAAACATGTCATCCAGCTTGCTTGATGAAGTTGTATGCCTTTTTGTACCACATAATGTATTGCATGTATGTTGACGGTAATTAACACTCATCATAAATCGTCAATATAACTCGTATAAATGCATGAATATGATCACAACATAGATCTAGGAGTTTAAACTGATAAATTTCACAAGTTTTGGTGGATCTGTATTTTTAGGGGTATTTATTAAGGAAACATGCTAAGTAGACCTATTCGTCAGAGAAAATCACGATCATCCACGACGAAACTGACTTTAAGGACCCCCAATCCACCATCCAAAACAAACCGCCGCAAATCAATCCAAACGGGCAAAGGGTGGGGCTGGCCGGCCCCACCTGTAGGCCGATCGACCTCCCTGGCCCACCAGTCAGCCCCCGCTTCGAATGTCAGTTCCCCACCGCCTCTTAGGATCAATCTTCGCTATGGATCAAGGTCGGTTCGTATCGAGAGTCCAGATGAAGTATTGCCACAGATTTATGGGCTCACCGGACTCCTGGTGCCCCTATAAAAGGCCCCCCCATACTGAATTCATCCAAGAAGAAGAGACTACAACCTCAAAGCTCCCAACACAAATATTCATAGGCATAGGTAACATTCACTTGCATTTGCGTGCATGCCTTGCCGGCTTACACATGCATGCATGCTCTCTTGAGCTGCTAGCTGCTTTAGCTTGCGATCCGATTGGATAACGGAGCACGTATCCTCCATATATCAATGGAATCAGTAGTTATTCATATCTAACGCGTGAACACGTACGTATCAAAGGAATGGCACCAACAACGGCGACGAAGCAGCAGCTAGTACAGTCGTTACCGCCGCCGCCGCCACCACCCTGCAGCGGCGTCTCCTCCTCATCACAAGACGATGACGATGACGACGACGACGACGACGGCGATGTGGTGCGGCAACTGGTGATGGGGCGTTGGCGTTCGTCCCTGTCGTCGGGCCTCCGTGCCGCCCTGGCCTGCACCATCGTGGGCCTCGTCTCCCTCTACGCACCGGCCGCCCTCTGCCGCCACATCACCTTCCCGGCCTTCTCCTACGTCGTCACCGTCATCCTTGTCACGGACGCCACCCTGGGCACGGCCCTGCGCGGCGCGGTGAGCGCGCTGCACGGCACCCTCATGGGCGCGGCGCCCTCCGTGGCGGCGCTGTGGCTCGCGCACTGCACGGGCGCCGCAGAGTCGGTGGTGGCCACGTCGGCCGTGGTGGCGCTGACGGCGTTCGCGGTGGCGCTCCCGGAGTCGGTGGGCCCGGTGGCGAAGCGGATCGCGCTGGGGCAGGCCATCATAATCTACGTGGCCAGGTTCCAGCAGGGGGAGCGCCCCAGCCGCGCCCTGGCGCTGCTGCACCCGGCCAACGTGGTGGCGTGCACGGCGCTGCTGGCCGTGCTGATTCCCTGGCCAAGGCTGGCCACACGGGAGGCCAGGGACAAGAGCAGAGCGTACAAGGTGGTTGCCACCGAGAGGGTCAGGGTCCTGGCTGACGCCTTTATTGGTGTGGGTGTGGGTGTGGGTGTGGAGGCCGAGGCGTGCAGCCGGCATCGGCGATGGCAGATGGCGGCGTGCATGTCGGAGGCCAACCGGCTGGCCTCCGCAAGTGCAACCCTCCTCAACCGCATGAACGCCATCAAGGTAAGCTAAGTGCAAGTCGTTTATTACATTAATTACCGATAAGCAAATCAATATATACTCCTATACAGTACGTGTTGCCGACTTGTGGACTTATGCATGCATGCAGGAGGATTTGCAGTGGGAGCAGCATCGAGATGCCACTGACGGGAATGCAGATCGCACTCACAATGATGCAACAAGCCTCCGGGGGCGGCCATGGCAACAATAAGGAAAACATGGTCGTCGGCCTTGTCATGGGGATGAGGGACCAAATACGCCTCGCCCTCCTCACGCCCAACAAGCCGAGGCAGCAGAGCAGATCATTATTATTTGGATCATCCTGCAGCACGGCCACTGCCACGGCCAGCAGCAGCAAGTCGCTCTGCTACTTGCCAACTCCGACGACGAACTATGACTACGACGAGCAGCAGCAAAAGCAGCAGCTGGCGCCTTTTTTGTTCATCCTCTCCCTCTATCAGCTCCATCGTCGCTGCTGCGGTGATGGTTCCGAGACGCCATTGACGGCAGAGGCAGCTGCCATGCCCAACGCCAAGCAGGTAGCGCCGGCAACAACAACGACAGGCCAAGAATTACTATTGGAGCAACCAGCAGACTTATTATTGCCCGACGACGAGCAAGAAGAAGTAGAGCAGCAAGTGGGGCAGGACGATCCATCTTCACAAGCAGAGGCCGCCACTGCAACTGCAGGAGAGGAGAAGGCTACGACGAGGACGACCAAGCACCAGCAGACACGATCGAGGCCCATTAGCAGGTTGTATCAGCTGGCGGTGGCATCGGCGTCGTCGGCTCGTGGCGGCGGCCAAGTGCGGCTTCTCGCTCGGCCTTGCCGTCCTGCTGGGCCTGCTCTTCAGTAACGACCACGGCTTCTGGTCGGGTCTCATCGTCGCCACCACCATGACGGCGGGGCGCGAATCCACCTGGGCTGTGGCCGTCGCTCGAACTCACGGCACCGCCCTGGGCTCCATCTACGGCGTGCTGTTCTGCCTGCTCATGTCGCAGCAACAGCAGCTCGTGACCATGGACCTGCGCTTCGTGGCCCTCCTCCCCTGGATGGTCCTCGCCACCTTCCTCAAGCGCAGCCGCGCCTACGGTCGTCATCATCATGGGGCGCCGCTACGACGAGGCTCCCATGGCCTTCTCCATCGCGCGCCTGGTGGAGACCTTCATAGGCATCTCCTGCGCCGTCCTGGCGGACCTTGTGTTCCAGCCCGGAGCGAGGCCGTCGGTGCAGGCCAGGGAACAGCTCACCCGCTGCATCGCCGCGCTGGCTGACTGCTGCCCGCCTTGTTGCTGAGCCTTCATCAGAATTATTATTGAAGCGGGTGCAGCAGGAGCTGGCCCTGTTGAGGAAGCACGCCGCGGAGGCCGGCAGTGAGCCCACCTACCTGTGGCTGCCGCCGTTCCCGGCGGCCTGCTACGACAAGATCCAGGGCAGCCTCAGCAGGATGGCGCAGCTGCTGCAGCTCTACCACCAGGCACGCCGGCACCAGCAGGTGGACACCAACACCATCCAGCAGCGGTGCTTCAGCAGCCTCGCCTCCACCTCCCTCAGCCACTGCCTCCGCATGCTGGAACCACGCAAAGAGGCCAAGGGCCAGGTCGTCGATCTTGAGGCTGGGACTGCAGCTGGTGGCGTCGGCTGCAGTTGCTGCTGCTCCAAGGATGACGAGGTGGTGGGCTCCTTCCTAGCGCAGGCAAGAGAGCTGCTGTTGAACGATGACGACGACGACGACGACGACGACGACAGCGTTGAGCAACAAGAGGAGAGATTCTTGGTAGTGTGCTGCCTGGGCTCCATTGCCCTGTGCATGGGAGAGATCCTCAAGGAGGCCCAGCGGCTGGAGGCGCACATCCTAGACCTCAACAACCTGCAAGTCACTACCGGAAACAGTAGGTATGCCGAGTGCATTCTATCAGGCACTCGGCAAACCTGTTGTGTGCCCTATTTGTCGAGTGCCGCTATGGAAACATTTGGCAAACATATTACACTCGACAGAAAACCCTATTTGCCGAGTGCCGCCGTGAAAGGACTGTGACGTCTAAGAGGGGGTTAAATTAGACAACTTAAAACTCTAACTCTAAACTATGGTCTTTTTTTCTATCCTTAGTAAAAATCTATACAAAAGAGAAACTATATAGATGTGCAATTACGATTTTACTAGTGTGTTGCTATCTCTACCGTAAAAAGAGTTATGCAACCTAGGTTCCAAACCTACCAACTAGCCTACCACTAAGTTAGGAAAATAAAGCACAAACCAAGATTTCAATGTAAATGCGAAAGTTAAAGAGTAAGTTAGAGATATGCAAATTCCTATCGACGATTCCGGTATTTTTACCGAGGTATTGAGAAACGCGTAAGCTTCCCCCTAGTTCTCGTTGGAGTCCCTCCAAGAAATCACACACAAGGGCCAAGCTCCCGGTCGGGTAACTCCGTGGATAGCCTCGAACCTTCCCCGCACGCAAGTGGGTCTCCGACGTGCCTTCCGACAAGCCTCTCCCGGATGCTCTCCGCCGTCTTCACTATCAAGCTTTCGACCGAAACGTCGCGGGCCTTGTTCCCTCCGTACATGGTGGCGGCCACACCACAAACGCGGTTGGTGTGGTCTCACAAGACTACAAGCCCCTCCGATGTACAACAATGGTGTGCGCAAGCACCGAGTGGTAAGAGGTGTGCAAACCTCACTAAACACTAGGCCTAAACCCAGAGCAAGCGCATAAGCGGTGGTCTAACTAATATAAGCACTTTGCAAATCACCTATGCTAATCACCAAATGTATCACTAAGCACTTAGCAAGTGGAGAGCTCTAAAATGGTGTACCAACACTCTTGATATGTTTCCTCAACTCTCCACCCTCCAAATAGCCGGTTGGGTTGTCTATTTATAAGCCCCATGAAGAGACTAGCCGTTGGAACAAAGTCCACCAATTCTGGCTAGCACCGAACGCGACTTGCGCCGGCATCGGACGCGCCCGGTCACTCACAATGGCCACCTAACCTTCGGCGCGTTCCACTGATCGGACTCTGATAGAGTCCGGTCACAACCACCGGACGCGTCCGGTCGGCGTAGCGCCTCTCTGTAACCTCTCTACATGACGATCGGACGCTACTGTTCCCGCATCCGGTCGATCATCCTTCAGCGTCCGGTCAATGCTGAGACAGTGAACAGAGTCAACGTCGCGTCTGGTCACTTGAGTCCTCAGTGTCCGGTCATATGGGTAGGCGCGCTCAGCGCGCTCACGTTAGGGTTTACCACCGGACACGTCCGGTCAGTGAGTCTGGTCAGAGCGTCCGGTCACACAAAAACCCTTTCTTCTCGTCTTTTTGAGATCTTTGCGCCCGACTTGGTTCCATCTTGTGTCTTGGACTTGTGCTTGATCTTGTAGGTCTTCTTTGTAGCTTCAAATGTCTTGCTTGAGATGTTGATCATCTGGATCCCACCGTTGCCTGAGTCCAAAACACATTTGCACCCTATTGGACTACAAAACAAACACTTGTAAACTTATTAGTCCAATTTGGTTATGTTGATCATCAAACACCAAAATCCAAACTAAATGGGCCAAAGGTCCATTTTCCTTACAATCTCCCCCCTTTTTGGTGATTGGTGACAACACGACCAAAGCAAGCAAATAATAATAGATACAAAAAATAAGAGCCTATCTACTTGCTAGAATGCAATGCAAGAGCAAGTTTATATGATGCTAAAAGATACCAATTTAAAGGAAGGTTTTACAACTTATCTTGCTCTTGCCGATGTCCCCATGTGGTATTATGGATTTATGCTCCCCCTAACTCCATAATCCACTTTTCTCCCTATCTCGGACCATTCCCAAATGAGATTCTCCCCCTTTCATCATCCCATAACCAAAGCCACCTGTAAACTTGATACCAATTGAAAAATTTCTACTTATATCATGGCATCTTCCAAAAATTTAAAATTGTGGATTTGGTATTATTATGAGTTGGGCTTGCTTTTGGTCCTACAATTTCTCCCCTTTGAAATCAAACACCGAAAAGGAAGACATTAGTAGCACAAGGGAGGGTCAAATTTTGTGATCCTTTATATGTGGATTGGAATTGACCACAAAACTTGACACTCATATTACATAGACTAAGCTCCCCCTAAGTGTATGCATACATATGGTGTAAGGCAAATCATATGCATAACGGGCAAATCAATGCACATGGGAGTTTAATCTATATGATGTATAGAGAAAGCATAAAGATACCAAATTGAAATCTAACATAATGATATTGGTTTTGAAATACCACATGTAGAAATCCAATTTGATTGATACCAAATGAAGGCTAATGAAAGCATGACGCTTATCTCCCGGGACTCCATTTTCCTTGCAATAAGACTACTATAGACATGATAAAACTTGAAAAAGGGTGCTAGTCTCAAAGCATCCAACTTGTAGGATAAGCTCCCCCTAAAAGTGTGCATACAAGTGTAGAATACTTGTAGGAGACATGCACATTTGACTTTTAAGGTCAAAATATCAATTGAAGGATAATGTAACATGCAAAGTGAACATCACTTGAAGTTAGTATTTGGGAAAGTTATCTACAATTTGGACTTTGGTACATATAAGACAAACCAATTGAAGAATGATCTATGTGCCGCGCTCCTAAATAATTTAAACCATGTAGGTTTGCTCCAAGGGTAAGAGTGATGCCGAGCAACCCTACCATATGATTACCTAGTGTATGCATGACAAGAATTTTAACATGCAAATGCAAACCTAGGCATGAAAGGGAACTAGATGCTAAAAGAAATTACAAGAAATTAAATCTAGTTACCTAACATGGGAAGGGAAATTTGGATCCATAGTATCCACTAACCCACTTGACAATTTCCTTGAACATCATGATGCATCCCATGAAATGCACCCAAACCTTACCAAGTCTCCAAATTCCCCGACATCCAAATGGACTTCTCACTTCCCTTTTGGGGTCCAAACCTTCTTGGCGCTCTTCATATTTGAAATGATCTCTTTTGGCACCTAAAAGCGTTTGACCCCATTGTTGGCTTGCTTGTTCACCTTGATGGCCACCACCTTGTTATTTTTCTTCTTCTTTAACAAGTATGGTGTGGAGGCCTTCTTGTCCACCTTGTTGGTGTAGGTGTTGGAGAGCTTACTCGTTTGCTTTTTATTTTTCTCTTTCTTCTTAGCTCCTCCCTCATTCTTCACCCTGCACTCATAGGACTTGTGGCCTTCTTTGTGGCACACGTAGCAAACCACGGTTTCTCCCTTATCAAGCTTCTTCACTCCCTTGATGGTGTTATCTTGATGAGGTTGGGCTTGCTTCATCTTGCCTTGCACTTGAGTCAAGTCCTTGGTGAGGCGAGCCACTTCTTACTTAAGTTGCTCATTCTCGATTGCAACATCTTGTGTACATGTTTCTACAAACACATTCTCAAAACGAACTTGGTTGCAAAGGGGTGAGTCCAATAAATCAATGCAAGAAGTAGAGGCATCCTTTTTTGGCATGTCAAGGATTGAGATTTTCTTTTTAGGTGCCTCGGTGGGGGTTGTACCGATGGCTTCAAGATTAGCAACTTTAGTTGTTAGCTCATCACAATGTTTGCACATGATTTCCATTTTAGCGAGCAAACATTTATAAGCATCTTGTGTGCTAGCTAACTTTTCTTTTAATTTTTTTATTTTTCTTTACTAGTTGCTCATTATTGATTGTGCATTCATTTGTGCTTGCACTAGCCTCTAATTGCTCAATTTTAGTGGATAGCTCAACATTAAGATTAGCAAAAGTTTCATATTGTTTAAGCAAAACTTTATAAGTTTGTTGTGAGCTATCTACCTTTGCTTTTAATTCATTTATTTTCTTGTGTTGGCTAGTGCAAACTTTAGCATATTTGAGATTATCTTGCACAATTTCACCATAAGAAGGAAGCTCATCATCACTATCACTATCACTTGAGCTAGAGCTTTCGTTACCTCGTGCCATAAGGCACACACGTGAAGTGCTTGATGATGATTGCTTGCAACTATGCCTTTTGTGTTGAGCTTCATCTTCACTTGATGAATTATCCCAAGTCTTGATGGAAGTGAGGGCTTGGCGCTTTGCTTTTCTTGCCTTCTTCTTGTCCTTGGGTGTGGGCTTGTTAGTTGGACAATCTTCCACAAAGTGCCCTCTCTTACCACATCCATAGCATCCTTTCTTTCTTTGCTCTCTTCTTTGATTGGTGAAGATGCAATCTTTTATTTGGATGGGCACACCCTTGACATTGAGCTTGCGGATCAACTTCTCCACTCCTTGTATAAGCTTGATTGTTTCTTCATCATCAACTGAGGAGTTGGAAGAGGTGGAGGCTTGATCATCATCACTTGATTCTTCATCATCCTCATCTTCTTCTTCATCTTCACTTGAGGAGCTTGAGCTTGAGCTTGAGCTTGACTCAACTTTCTTGCCCTTCATCTTCTTTTTGCTCGTCACATGTGAGAGCGGTGGCTTTGCTTGATGAAGTGGCTTCTTCTTGACCCATCTTGTGTGACATCTCATATGCCACAAGCTTGCTAATGAGGATGGCCGGGGTCATGTTGCTCAAGTTCTCCAAGTTGTGGAGGATGGTGATGATGCTTGCATATTTTGAGTGTGGTAGCACCGAGATGATCTTCTTCACAATATCCGCATCACCTAGCTTTGTCAACCCTATGGAATTGAGCTCATTGACAATTAGATTCAAACGAGAATACATGTCCTTTACACGCTCATTTTCATTCATTTTAAAAGAATTATAGGTTGTCTTAGCTAGGCAATGCTTTTGCTCATGGACATTACTTGTGCCGTCATGGAGCTCATGTAGTTTTAACCAAATTTCTTGAGATGTGTTTAAGGTAAACACTTGGTTAAAAACATCCAAGCTAAAA